ACTTAATCAACATCCACTACAATGCAAAAAAAGGATAGCCAAGACAAACTGCTTACTCTTCCAGCTGTTTGTGAAAATGTACTGAGTTCCAGCATGACCAACAAAACTTATTTTTAATAAACTAATGTAATAAGCGGTTGCTAAGAAACTGGTCCTTCTTAGCCAGTTGTTTTTCAAATGTCAGCCAAGTAACCATAGCAATGTTGACGACATGGTTACATGTGTTTGGTTTTATGGGCTCTTTAGCTCTAGGAAGAAGGCGGACATACTGTAAGGTAAAAATAATATACCACTGATTGCTTATAAAATTTGAAATGACATAAGAAAAGGCAGAAATAAAAACAGGTGTTGGAGGAATGCAGTAAAGATCATAAATATGACTCTTTAGACTCAAAGTTTTTGTTCATAAATGTTACTTAATAGTGGAGTTAACACCAACCTGATGAAGGTTTTTCAGCTTTAAGTGAATCCATGTTCTTCTCAATATCTGTGCTTTCTAGTTCTTATATCCGCTGAGCTATTTGCCTCATATCTTAGTGCTATGTGGTGTGATTTGGTTTAAATAAACAAAAACAAACTCACGTTGACAGCTTCAAGAACGGGAGGTTCTTCTCCCACTCTTGCAGTTAAATTTTCAGGAGGTTTAAACACAGGTTTGGCTTTGACTGGCGGTGGTGGTTGTTTGGTCTTGATGACTTGATGAGGGCTGCTGTTTGGAGCCGAACTGTTGACCAAAAGCTGACCAATCAGACTTTTCTCATAGCGCTCTCGGTTTGATGAGGACACGACTTCCAAACGGACAAGTGGGGACCGCATCGCCTCACGAAAGATGTCCTGAGATCTATGAGGACAAAGTGGGAAGGATGGAAGGAAAGAGAAAGAAAAAACTGAAAACATGAGGTAATTAGTTTTTTTAAGAGAAAATAAAGGCAATTAGCAGTTAAAATGATCATTTCATCATTCATAATAACATTTAAAGGGTACTTATCAGTTTCTGACAGGAAAATTAATTATACTATGGGATGGTATAACAAGATTAGAGCAAAGAAAGATGCAATTAATACATCTGATCACGCATGATTAATTCAAGTCTGTGCTAAATACTTGGTTCTTTGAATTATAGGAAATTCGGTTTCATATTTTTAAGGCATGAATAAGAAAATCACAAATTGTGAAACTGTTTTCTTACTTTTTTCCTGAAATGTCCTAAATATGAGTATAAAATATTTTACCGTCCTCTTTAATTACTGAGGGTTTTATTTTTGGCAGAGTTTCCATTTTTCATTTACTTTCTGTGAGTTCATATCTAACAGTTCAGGAAGCATATAGCCATAACACCAGGACCCAAAGGCCATTAGAAACTCATAAAGAAAGAAAAAGATCATTTGCCAGGGAACTAATTTAAATCAGATCATGCTAAGTAGGTTACAGGAACTACAGTGTCAGGAGCAATTGGTAATCAACATCATTCACCACAGAAAAGCAATGGAATAACTCCAGGTAATTAACATTTCATTTGATTACACTCCTGTTGTTGTCTGACTAGTTTATGATTATTAGTGTAAACTAAGTTTAGAAAACCAGAGAGGAAAAATTCCTCCATAGCTTGATGGAAAAAACAACACGTAGTAAAACTTGGAAAATGGATAATACTTAGGTTTAAACTATGATGTTAAGAATACATCCTGTTTACATTTGAAAACAAAATAGGGGGTGTGCTCGACGCGGGCGACCCGGGTTCGAATCCGGCCTGTGGTGCTTCCCCGCATGTCACTCATCCTCTGTCATGCCCCCTTTCCTGTCAGCCTAGTGTCCATAAAAGGAGAGCCACTAGTGCTGTTAAAAACTCAAAAGAAAAAGATAAAATAAAATAGGAGATCATTTATCCTACGGTTCGTTTACGCGGCAGGGTTTTAGAATTGTCGGGCAATTTTCCAAAACGTAAAGTCATAGGGAAGCGGCTGTTCCAACCATTGCATTTCCAAATTCTCCCCAGTGGTCAACGACTTTACAGGAGTGAATAAAGTGAATGTGATTGGTCGTTTATCAAGAGGTCGGGATTGTTGTGGCGGAAGGTTTGCAAGCTATTTGATTGTGGCCGGTTTCTCGGAAGCATCTTGCTAACCAGTTAGCAACTGAGTGCTAGTAAGTTCCCAATGGGAAAAAAGGAAGCGAGGATGAAGAAGTTGTGGAAGAGGACGCCAGGGTGGCAGAAGCTTGGTTTGGTGTAGAAGGCTTACAGCCATACATGTTTGAGCCCTTGCCTCGCAACTCTGCCAGTTCTGTTAGCTCTACGCCTGCAGAAGACACAGACGTCCATCCCCGTAAACACTGGGACGGAACTCAACGGTAAAGTAAATGACTCTTATTTCTTATTTCAACCGTTGCGTATATTAGCTGCAACATATGAATGAAGATGCTATGACCGAAAAAATGTAGGTGTACAAGCTGATGTATAACTAACTGGCCTGCATAAGATAATAAAAAATAAAAAATAAAGAAATTTTCTAAATTTTGGGACAATATTATCTGATAAAGGGTACATTTATAAACATGTTTAAGCCAGAATGATTTGACATTTAAATATGACGACCCTACGACTTTAAGAGATCCCACAGGTGAAAATAAAATAAATTGTGTAAAGAACAGTTTTGGTCGTGTTAGATGTCCCCTCCGGTCACACCACAAGCGCACCACGCTTCACATGAGACGATTTTGACGCTATCAATGCTCATCAAGCAAAGAGAGCAAACAAATTTGCTGTAATTATTGGGGGGAAGTAGCTTTAAGATGTTTTTAAGTAAAAGTACACCTTGAAATGTAATAGATGCAGTCAGTTCACCAGGATTATGATCCTAGCTATAAATATTCTTTAGTTGTTTGGAGCAGCAGACCATAGATTATCAGCAGGCTGTCGCTCTGAGACAGGGACAGCTCCCTTAGACGGCCAATCACTCAGGGATTTCCGTCTGTTCTGCATAGCAGCTGGAAATGAATATACAGTGTTTTCTAGGTGGTAAACTCTACAAGTACCAGGTTATAAAATGAAATGCTTTTTAACCAGCAAGTTTTTATCATTGAGGTTAACGCAGGTTTGCATTGCAAACTGCTTTTCATCACAATGCAGTGACAAAATACTTTAGCAGAGAAAACAGGGTACTCTCAGTTTTCTTTGTACATGAAAAAAAAAACAGATTTTAGTGGCCTTTGTATGTAAACCTATTAGGGTTTAACCCCTGTATATACATTCATGCCCTTTTATTTTCTTCTCCCAGCAAGCTCTTGGATCAGATTCTCTGATTTGCAGCCTTTCAGGCGAAGATGATCCAGTTGGATATCCCTGATTTACAAACAGAGGAGTCCCGACGTTCTACCAAACAGACCTGCTTACAAGAAACCACACACAGCAGGATTATCTTACTGATTATCGGCCCCGACAGGCTCCTGATTTCGAGGGCTCTTGGAAGGGAAAGATCAGGCAGTAAACAGCACAATTATCTTGTCGTGTGGAGCAGCATTCAAAGCACCATATTGCCTGGTAAAAATATTGTATATCAACCTGACCAAGTACATGATTTTTACATAAAAATCACATCTGTACTTTTGCATCCTGTTGTATAACACTGAGGTTGTATGTCACTAAACTAATGGTTAGGGAAGGAAATGAACAACATATTCCTAAATGTTTTCCAAATAAATATTAATGTGTGGGGTTTATTGGTTTTCAGCTACCTTGAGTCATCCGTTTGTAGAATCTCCTGTTTTTATGAAAGTCTTCTGGATTATTTTTCTATAGCTTGCATTTACAGACTGAATTATTTGTTTAATCTTAAAGCTCAGATTTGATGGATACTATCTCTTTCCAGCCTCTCCATTGAATTTAGACCCGTACTTTAGGTCATTCTAACATATGAATAAGGTTAAATCAAAACAACTTCAGTGTGACCCTGGCTGTATGTTAAAGGTTGACGTTTTACAGGAGAGTGAGTCTCTAATCTGTAGTAAAGTCAAAAAGTCTAAGTTGGAAGCATCTGATGGGAACAGCTTTCTCTACTTAATTCATTTGTAATCTAAATGAACAGTGGCTGCTTACAAAACAGATCTTTTCTTCCAAATTTCGAGTTTTCTCTTGCTACTTGGTTGTTTAAAGCCAGATTTAAAACTAATGTGAAACCAAATGTCTTTTTTTATTTAAAGGTTCTTTATTGTATGTTAGTAAATGGTTTATGAAAATATACTCTTTATAAATATATTTGCTTCTAGTCCAAACAAATTTAGTCCCATCCCCCCTAATGTGATTACTCTGTGTTCATTACATGAATTATTCTTGGGGATAAGTGAAAAACTGATCTGTGTTTGGAACGTTTTGATTAAGTTGAGCATTCTGAGTTAAAATAAAATTAAAAGTCCTAATCCAGACCTTAAACTTGTGTGTGTGAGTGTATATATATATATATATATATTTCCTTCTTATGCATACATATCGTTCTCATGCATTGCCTGATTTGTCTAGAGTTGTCTTAGACTGCTCTATTTATATTGTTGTTCGATAGTTTTTTTATCTGAGTCAGCATGTGACTGCTGACTCAGATAAATAACATATTAATTAATAAATTTTTTGCTTTCCTTAATGTCATTGCAGCATACTTTATGTGTTTTCTTTTGTTTTGCTTGTGTAGACACTTTGAATGTTCTTCTTACTGAATATAGTATACAAATAAACTTGCCTTGCAATATCACTTCACTTAGAAATAAGAAAAAACAAGCAGTGAAGCAATTTCAGCTAAACTTGAAATAGTCACATTTCTAATTTATGATAAATGTTGAAGTTTAAGTTCAAGGCATTAATTTTTATGCCTTAATGTCACTTTATAAAAACAGTTAATATGCAAAGTTATCAATCTAAACAAAGTTTAAACCTCCAAGGAAAAACAAAGATAATCAGTTGCACTCACTGGCTAAATGTCTTGTCCATGAGGTCAGTGTTATTGATTTTCACAATGCACTCATCCTCTTTAAACAAGCCTTCCTTTCTTGAGCGGCTCTCTTCTTCCACACCACGGATATACAAACCAAGAGACCTGTGCAAAAAAGAAAAAACAAATTGAAATTATTGCAAATACTTCTTCTTAACATAAAACCATATGATTCTATGATTCTAATATATATATATATATATATTGTTTTATTTAAATGCCAGACTGAATATTTAATGTGAAATGTTAACGGTTAAGAACAAAATTTTCAAAGTTTTCAAGGAGGCAATGATTCTAACACCCGCTATAGAGGCCAACTCCACAACAATAAAGAGACAGGTCAAGAGGAAAGAGCAATGGCAAATTATAAAAGGAAACTGGAATGAGAAGAGGAAAAAAGGAAGAATCAGACCAGAATGGGGAGAAAGAAGAGCAGAAAGAAAGCTGCAGGATCCAAAGGAGTCATGAGAACAATCATAAAAATTCATCATGCTTTCCTTTAGGAAGTTTCTCTTCCATCCAACATCACGCAGTCAAAACACTGCGAACAGAAAAAAATTCTGTCTTCCTGTATTTTTTTTATTTATTCTCTATGTCTCCAAAGTTTATGTAATGCCATGTTCAAAATGGCAGCATGCTGGGAACAGTGGTGCAGATTTAGGCCTGTGTGTTATATTTATAAAAGGTTGTGATTAAATGTGTACACCACCTACCGTCCACTGAATGAAGAGCAGTAGGGAACTACATGGATACCAAGAGGACTGTCTTCCCCCGGGATCTCTACTGTTCTGGTCAGACTAGAGAAAAAAACAAAAACAAATAAACAGTAAAAAGAAAAAGAAGTTAAAAGGACGTTTTTGATAGATGACTTCAATTTAGTTTATTTATTTAGCGCCAATTCACGACACATGTCATATCAAGGCACTTTACAATTCACCAGATCACAGAGTGAAATTAATTCAAAGTATTCTATCTAAGGAAAACCAGTTAATTGCATCGATTCATTTACTTGAATGCAATCCCTCACACCAAGCATGCTTGCAGCGACAGTGGAGAGGAAAAACTTCCTTTTAACAGGAAGAAACCTCCAGCAGAACCAGGCTCAGTGTGAGTTTGTGACTTGTGCTTTATAACTGCAATTATAAACTTTTCTTTACTCTAACAAATAATGATGAATTTGAGATGTTGATGGATAAAAGAATAATTTAAAAGGCATTTGAAAAAACAAAAAAGACCAAACCAAAAAAAAAAAAAAAATGTCCGAACAAATCAATGTATTGTTCGGTCTTTCGTTTTTTTGTTTCAGAACGGAAACAAAGAGAGAAAAAAAAGGTTTGTTTGTTTTTTGTTGTTTAATAGCATACACATATTTCAAATAATGTGCGTTCTTTTATTTTTAGCAAATACAGTTGCAAACGCTGATAAGTTTTTGGCAAACTGTCACTTTTTTAGATTAAGCTAAAATCCTGCACAGCTTCCTTAAGTGACTGGAAATAGCTGCAATCAAGCACTGATTATCACGCTCCGTGCTTTTGCTTTGAAGTCTGGATACCAAAGTGATGGCAGGAAATGATGCCTGGATGATGACAGCTGAAAATCATAGAGGACGCTGATTTCATAGCAGTGAATTCCTTAAGTTTAACACTAGACACACATTATAACCTGTGATCAACACATATATATAGGACATGACGTTGGTGCTTACTGAAAATGCATTGTACTAGATAATAATTTTTAGATTAGATTTATTAAGGCCGACTCGGCAGGAGACCTGAATTGTGTCAATCTCAATATTATAAGAGTAAAAGGCTGTACATGTCACATGGGGGCCTGAGTTCTGAGGCCATGAAGAGAAGAAGAAATGGTCCACTAACGAACATTACATACTTTAATATAGAGGAAATATTAAAACAGGGACAGTTACAGGTACCAATGTTCAGAAGAAGTTATTAATTCAAACTCTCTAAATTTCCTATCATTAGAGGAGTAGTGCTGGCCGTTAGCAAGTTGCTAACTGGTTAGCAAGATGCTTCCGAAACACCGGCCACAACTAAAGAGCTTGCCAACCTTCCGCCACAAAAATCCCGCCCCCTTGATAAACGACCAATCACATTCACTTTATTCACTCATGTGAAGTCGTGCACCACTCGGGAGAATTCGGAAATGCAACGGTTGGAACGACTTTATAAAGGCAGACCGCAGACTTTCTGACCTAAAGAGTTGTTACATGGGGTTATTTTAAATGATTCTTCAGGCAAATATACAGCGCTTGTAGGGATGGAACGGTTTATGAAAACCGTCCAAACCGTTCGGTTCGACTGTCTCGGTTCGATTCGGGTGTGTTGCGTTCAGCTCATGCGCTGCTCCTTTTTCTCATAGGCGAAGCGTGTACACTCCAGAGCAGAAGGTGGCACACCAGTAGTAAAAAAGAAGAAGAAGCGAAGCAGCGTAGCCGGATGTAGCAGAAAAAAATCAGTTGATGTGGAGAATTGTGTGGGTATGGCGAGTGGGAAAGAACAGGAGTTGGAAGATGCGCCAGCAGCACTTTATAGGTCTGCTGTATGGGACCACTTTGAATTTAGAGTGACCTACGATGACGGCGGAAAGAAAGTTGTGGATAAAAGTGCAACAGTGTGCAAGCATTGTGCAACACGTTTTGTTTATGCTAACAGCAACACGACCAACATGTCAGGCTAACAATCAACATATACCAAACCGAACCGAAAACCGGTTCAGTTCACGAAACCGTGAACTGAACCAAACCGTGGATTTTGTGAACCCTTCCACCCCTAAGCGCTTGACATTATCAATGGTACAAGCGTGGCCCTGCAACAATGGACACTAGACAAGCAAGCTTAAAGAAACTGAAATCCTGAATCCCTACTAAGAAGTAATAATTACCCTTCCCCACCTGTTGCTTAGCGCTAAAAGGTAACAGACTTACGACAAACTCAGCTTATTACTGCAGTCTTGTCAGGAAGAACATAGATGGTTCTGGTGTGGAAAACCACTCCGATGGTTACCAGTTAAAGGAATAGTACACCCAAAACATGATTAGCCTTCATTTTCTACTCACCCCCATGCTGAACAACACTCTGGAGTACTTTTTTGATATCTCAAATGCATCTGGAGATCTGGGAGGCTTCTTGCTGTCTGCTGACATTCAAATAATGGAGGTCTATGGCGCCCGAGACAGAAAGGTCCATAAAAGTCCACAAAAACGTGTCAATATTCCTCCATACTGCTCGTCCAATGTATTCCAAGTGTCCTGAGTGGGTAGCATCCAGAATTTACTCGAAACGAAGTCATTTAGAACGTTTTTAGAGCATAAACAGTAGTGTATAGGATTTCCTGAAAGCGCATTCAGCGTCTGCTTTGCCAATAATGCAAGCGTAGAAGAAGAAATGTGCTGTTTACCTGTGCAAAGAAAGAAACAACGAAAGAAAAATGTCTGAGGACTTCAGTGTTGAGGAAGAGCATGAGTTCTTTGCTGAGCTGAATGCGCACTTTCTTCTGGTTTGGTCTGCCGTGGTTTCCGTAGCGTCGTGAACGCGCTTTCAGGAAATCCTATACACTACTGTTTATGCTCTAAAAACATTCTAAATAACTTCGTTTCGAGTAAATTCTGGATGCTACCCACTCAGGACACTTGGAATACATTGGACGAGCAGTATGGAGGAATATTGACCCGTTTTTTGTGGACTTTTATGGACCTTTCTGTCTCGGTCACCATAGACCTCCATTATTTGAATGTCAGCAGACAGCAAGAAGCCTCCCAGATCTCCAGATGCATTTGAGATATCAAAAAAGTACTCCAGAGTGTTGTTCAGCATGGGGGTGAGTAGAAAATGAAGGCTAATCATGTTTTGGGTGTACTATTCCTTTAATGTTAGAACTACAGCTGAAAAGTCACTCTAGAGGGACAATACTCTTCACAATCTGCAAACGTACTTGAAAACTACAAGTAGAACTGGCAGGTTTTCATTGTATATTTTCACACAGTACATTGATGCATGAAAAAGAATATATTTAACCATAACATTAATACATCTAATGTTAGGAATAAATATTAAAAATGAAAAAATACTTCAGCAGCAGCAGTTATACGTGTTGCTTTGCTGTTTGTTTAAATAGCATAATTTCAAGGTTAATATCCTCTAAGAATCAAATTCTTCTTCTTGCTTTTATAATGGGGTTTCTAATCTTTACTTTGAGTTGCATTATTTTAATTAAAGCTGCAGTAAAGGCATATTTTCCAAGGTTAAACATTAAAAAGTTAAAAATGGGTGTTTGAAATGCAACATACATAATGGGCATTGCAGTGACTGACACCCTGAGTCTGACTCAGATCCAAAGTCCTTAAAGGGCAAGTGTGTTTCTGGAGTCGTTCCCTAAGCTAGACTCAAGACCAGTATTCGGTTGCCAGGTTTTATCTTTCTGCACACATGAAACCCAAAGGCAAGAGGTCAGGGGACAATATGAAAGCTAGAAAGGGATTGGATGCATGTTGTTAAAAAAACAAACAAACTGAACAACAGTGATCCGTATCTTCTCTGAAAGCTTGCGTCTGTTGAGTAAAAGTTTGCAAATGGTGTCACTCGACTGACTCTTGATTATAAACAAATCCACCGCTGTGCTGACAATATGCCTTTGTGAAGTACTTAATCTGTGTCTGTAGACACAGGCCTCAGAGAAGGGAGAGCTCTACTCAATTTAAACCTAATAAAGGCACAGACTACAGTGGATGTATGTTTGAAGAATACATTTTTGTGTCTTTCTTCTCTGTGGATTTCTTCCTTCCTTTCAACCTCTTAATGTCTCTCTGTCTAGTTCGGATTATTCATGTGTGTCTCTGCTTTACATTCTGCGTTTTTAAATGTATGTGTGCTAAAGTCTTTGTTTGTTTGATTGGTTTATCTATCAGAGCACAGCCATTAATCCTCTCGTGACCTTCTCTCTGCTCCCTGAGTGTGCGTGTCTGTGAGAGCATTTTTTTACTGGGTTTGTCTAAACTTTGTTTTGTAATCTGTCATTTATTGTCTGTCTTGCTAACTGCTTATTTCATTTTGTCTGCCTCTTCTTCCCTAGACCATCCATCCATCCATAAATCCCCATCAACAGATAACAGTACAGATGCTGATAACTCCAGAGAGGGCTGCTGATGGTTGTGGGTGGTAACAGTGGAGAGATGCAAAGGATGCAAACAAGTTCTCGCCTTATCACTTCCTCTCTCTTTTTTTGCCTCATAACAGCTCAGTAAATGGTAATAAATCTAAATAAATCAGACATGAATTAATCCTCTGTGATGTTATTTTAGAAATCTGTATTTAGAACTTTTTTGGTCTCTGACCACAAGTGGCGCCACTTCTTAAACAAATTTTTGAACAGTTGCACATGGGCCCAAGTCCAAACTCCAAACATTGCCTGGCTTGATTTAGAAGCATGTTTGTGTCTGTTTAAATGTTAATCTAGCAAATATACTAAAGTTTGAGAATGGCAGCAATGCAACCCTGTAGAACCACAACAGGTTCTCATTCTGTGGGATATTATCTTGTTCCCTTCAGTAGTAATGGAGATAACGTTTTTGATATATATACACATATATATACACATATATATACACACACATATATATATATATATATATATATTAGGGCTGGTCAACGATTAAAAGTTTTAATCGCGATTAATCTCATGATTTCCCTGATTAATTGTGATTAATCACATTTTTATATGCAAATAAACAATAATTAATTCAAAAGTAGTGTATAGCACAATTTTATTTGAAATGTTCTGC